GATTGTGATGATGATGATGATGATGATTAGGACAATTCTGTTTTTCCTTTTCGATGTAATTCTGACTAGAGTTGCCTGTTTTATTGTTGCCAGGAATCAGCAGCAGCATCGCCAAGAACCTCGCGGGCGGAGGTTTCATCAGCAAAGTGTTGCTGGCAAATGCTGACGCTCTGTGTGCTGCTGCCTCGCCTTTGCTGGAGCAAGACATTCCATTGTAGGTGGCTTGTTGGTTGTTAACCCTATCCGTACGTCGTGTTTTACTATCTTATCCATACGATGTGGGGAACTCTGTGCCACCACTTAACCCTATTGATCTGTATGTCGTGTTTTACTATTGTATCCATACGACGTGGGGAACTCTGTACCACCACTTTCAAAGAGGAAACTTACTCGTTAATCCGATCCGTACACTTTGCTGCATAGCAGTCTGTCAAAATGATTTTTAGAAAATACTGAAAGTTTCAAAGAGATCTTCCTACTAGAAGTATTCTAAAATGTGAAGAATACAACCCCAGGGATACAAAAGGACCCCAGGGTGTACGGATAGGGTTAAAATCACTTTATTTGTAGAGATTCTTTTTTGGAATTTGTACTCTTTTAAGTACCTTTTAGAATGTTGGTTCATTCCCTAAATCTGTTTTTTGAATATTTGTATAGAAAATGTGTTTGAAAACTGACAGGTTCCATCAATGTTTCATTTTCGATCTAGTCTACAAGGAGTTGTTGTTGTTGTTGTTCTTGTTGTGGTTGTTGTTATACAATCCGGCCACAGCTGAGCTCTCGCCCTTCTGTCCAATGCCACGTTGTTGTGATGAATGCAGGTTTGCTGTCTACAAGGAGTTAAAAAGTTTCAATGTTTTTTAAAGAAGTGTACCATAGAAAGAAGATCTGACAAAATTTGAAAAAATAAAACATTGTGAAACTCAGACAAGAGCACAAAAAAACAAGACGGATGTTTAGGCTTTTGATGAAAGCCAAAAATGAAACAAAACAATGAATAAAAATTACCTTAAGACTCTAACAAAAGCCAAAAACAAAACTTACCTTTAGACTCTGACTAAAGCAACAAAAAAAAACAACAACAAACAAACAGATCTTTAGACTCTGACAAAAGCAAAAAACAAAACAGATCTTTAGACTCTTTTTTTTTAAATATAGTAGAGGGTTTTACCGCGCTCGCAACTGCATACGGTCATCTGAGCGCCTAGGGGTGGGTGTCAACAGAGAAGTCCTTACAGGGAATCAGACTTAGACTGCTCACCTCTCTAGCTTCAACAGCACAAGGTCTGCTTTGACTATCAGGGCACCCCAAAATAGCAGGTCACAAGAGAGTGACAAACATACAAAAGAAGTAGAGGGAAATGACAATAGTAAGGATCTGGAAAGAAAAAGCAGCAGTTCCCTGTTGTAAATAAGGCACGGTTATGAGCGTGACATGAGTCTGCCCATTTACAATTTTACTATGCTTGAACGAGAAATGTCCCCCCCTTTGGGAATGGCCTAATGACACTTCAGTCATTGGCACTGCCCGGGGGGGGGGGGTCCTTTAGACTCTGAAAATAGCAAAAAAAACATTACTAATTCGAAACACAACGAATAAATGGTCATCTCATGCAAACGGTCCTGGTTGTCCCCCCCCTCAGAGAATCGTACCAAGAGAAGTGTGTGATGAACAACTACTTTGGGATCGGCCTCGACGCCAAGATTGCGCTAGAGTTCCAGCAGAAGAGGGAGGAACACCCAGAGAAGTGCAGGTTGGTTGGCTGGGCTGTGTGTGTGCGTGCGCACGTGTGTGTGTGTGTGTGTGCGTATGTTTGTGGTGTGGGAAATTTTTTAAAAAAATCTTTTTGTGTGTCTGTTGTTTTTTTCTGTTTCACTATGTGTGTATGTGCCTGTTACTGCCTTGCTGTGTCTTTTTTTGTCTTTTTTTTTTTTTTGTAAGTGTTGTACAGCGCTCGCAATTGCATAAGGTCATATGAGCCCGCGGGACATATTAAACTTTTTCAGTTGGTAGGAAATTTGGAATTTTGCCTGGGTGGTAGCCGAAGCCTACTCTTATCGATTTTAGACCATTAAGGGACTTTAACAAGCGCAACTTGCTCAGGGGCATTCCGAGATTTTTCGTCCTTGTCCAAGAAGGCTAGGTGTAGATCTTTCCTACCAGAAGATCAGGGGTGTGGCTGAAAGTAAAAAGGCGCCAAGGAGTAGCAGTAGAAAGGCTGCAGAAAAAGTCAGGAGCCCAGAGGAGGGGGGCTAAGGAGGTGAGAGGGTGGGGGCAAAAAGAGGAGACGAAAGCAGAAGACAGAACATTGTTAAGGAGCAGGAAAGGAGGAGAAAGGAGACAATTTTAGAGAATGCTGTGTCTTTGTTTTGTTTGTCAGTGTTTGTTTGTTAGCATGTGTTTTGGTTGTTTGTATGGGTTTTTTTGGGGGGGGAGGGGGGTATTCAGTCTTTTTTTTATATGTCTTGTTTGTACGTGTATTTCTGTTTGTTTACATGTCTGTTGTTTCTTTTTTCTATTTCTCTATAATAATAATAATGTAATAAATAGCATTTATACTGCACATTTCCATTTTCTAAAAGATGCTCAATGCGCATTACAACGAAAAAGACATCACATCTTAAAAATTAATCGACATGGGTGTGCGTAAAACAAAATATTATACATGATATAATATAAATGTATATATGTGTAAAAATTTATATTATGAGAAAAACAGTCCCGCAGTGGGGTTGGAAATGTGTTCACTAAAAATGTAGTTCTCTATGTATGTATGTATGTATGTATGTATGTATGTATGTATGTATGTATGTATGGCTGTTACTTCTTTTCTGTTATCTTTTTTTTTTGGGGGGGGGGGGGGGGGTTAAAAAACATTTATAAACATAAGGGGGTATTTTTTAATGCAATGAAAATAAATTTATCTTGCTTGTACTGGACAAATAGAAAGCAAAAGAGAAAGAGGCAACCTAGAATACCTTACTGAGAGAATTGGAATAGATTATAGATTAGAAAAGAGGCTTTAGAACATCCTAACAGTGAAATTAGTGGTGAACCTTGATCGCGGGTGTTTTATTCAAAATACTGGCTCTGTATAATTTTTTTTTTTTTTCAACTGGCTGACGAAATATATATATGTATATATATAATATTCGATGTACAGAAAAGTGGGAAGACGGAATAACATCAAGAGGCTAGCCCAGGATAGGGAAAGGTGGATGGTGTTTGTCCGTGGCCTATACCCTGGTGCAGGGTGAGAAAGGCAATGATGATATGTATAATGTATTGTTTTTTGTCCCAGGAGTCGGACCAAGAATCTGATGTGGTACGGAGTGTTAGGCGGGAAGGAGATGTTCAACCAGACGTTCAAGAACCTTGACCAGCGGGTGTTGCTGGAGTGCGACGGTCAGCGGATCCCCCTCCCCTCCCTGCGGGGCATCGTCATACTCAACATTCCCAGGTAGTTACTACACTACGATTCTCGTGTCCAAAAATGTCCCAAAATGTTTGTCGTTTTTTGGGGGTGTTTTTTAAGATGTATGTTTTCAACTGTTGACAGTAAATATACATGTTTGAACATGTCAAGGAGAAAAGTGGATGAGGGGGGGGGGGGGGTATAAGATTTGTGTTGATCTTGGAAAGTGTTCTTATTATCTGTGTGGCATCATGGTGAAATGAGGCGTTCATCGAAATATGGGAGTTGTCCTGACAAAATGAGTTACTTCTCAGATTTGGAAATTGATACATCAACTTTATAGGTGAAGTTTGAACAATTTGCAAGTATGGAATAATAAAAGGCAAAAGAGTTACTTCTCAGATTGGAAATTGATACATCAACTTTATAGGTGAAGTTTGAACAATTTGCAAGTATGGAATAATAAAAGACAAAATGGCATAAATTGAAAATCTACAAATCTGACCCAGTGTCAATTTTCGGCCAATATCCCTATTCTTAGTTGCGAGAAGTAGTTCATTTTGTCAGCATGCCTCACATATTGTAATCGAAGAAATTGACATTTTTCTGCCTGTTGGACAATTTTTTAATCTCGTTTTGTTTTTGTTTCTGTGTCTTTATTATAGAAAACATAACAATTTGCAGCGTGTCAATACATTCTTACGTTACCGACAAATATGAGCACCAAAATCAGGACACGGGACCAACAATTTTTTTTTTTAAGTTTTGTTTCTGGCCCAGCACCTTTTATGTCCAACAACCTTTTAAAGATTCTGTCAACTATGATTACAATTTTGACTGCAACTTGCTTATTTTGGCTTGATTTTCAGTTACAGCGGAGGAGCCAATTTTTGGGGTGGATCCAAGCAAGATGAGGTGAGTGTTAGACTGTCCCTGCGGTTTTATGTAAAAAAAATAATCTTAAGTTATGCAAACTGAGCCCAAAAAAGTGAAATTATGCGATTTTGCTGATTTTAACAAAGAATGATGAAAGAAAATAATGAGAAATTATGCAAAAAATGATCAAATTTGGCTAAATTATGCGGGATGCATAAAACCCCGGGGACGGGTTAGATATTAACAGTAACAGACGCTCTCTGCTCAAGTTTGAAAGTACTACTTTCACTTTCAAGCTCGTAAATAATGCGGGTGTCAAGTGCTCCACAAAGTACCATATTAAAGCATGACGCGAGAGGGTTTTTCCAATTGATCTTTTCACGCTTTAATAACTTTTAACCTAATTTCAGACTTTCACAATTTGCAACCGATACTTTAAATGTATAGAAAGTGTTCTATGAATGTTAAAATTGTGTTCTATCGTCAGTCAGCTTCTCAATATACTCAATGAACCCAAACTTCTCCTATAGGTAGGGCAATGCCCACTTTTGGTTTAGGTCAAGATTTTTCTGGAAACACTGGAAATCTGGGTTAGCCCGCTTGTCCTTAATTATTATAATAACTAAAGTGGTTGATGGGTGGTTGGCGGGTGCTCTGGTGTGGTTTGCTTCTTCTTTCCTATCGAACATCTGTCGTCCTTATCTCCCCTTCTTCTTTTTTATGTTTGTTACTCTCTTGTAACACCTCTCTAATCTTCTGGCGCTCATATGACCTTATGCAGTTGCGAGCGCCGTAAAACCTTACTAAAACAAAACAAAAGTGTTTGTCTTTCATTATATCCTTTGCCATTGCCTCGTTTTTCCAGAACTTTTCCGCCCCAAGTTTTGATGACCGTATCCTGGAGGTGGTGGCCGTCTTTGGTGGTATGCAAATCGCAATGTCAAGGGTCATTGATCTCCAGCATCACAGAATAGCCCAGGTAGATGAAAATATTTTGATAATAATAATAAATAATAATAAATAGCATTTGTATAGCGCATATCCCCGCTCAACAGCAGGCTCTATGCGCTTTACACTATATTATTACCCCAGCAGACCATAGATTTTAACATCTGATCGGTCACATTTCTTGTAGAGATATGTTTTAAAAAATATACTTTATCTTTTTTAAGATTGGAGGCTTTGTTGATCAGAGTTTGTTGATTAGTAAATTTTGTGATAATTAGAGTCTAGTGCGTTTCCAACCTAAGAGTCTTAACTACTCCTTTATCGGGGGGGGGGGGGGGGGGGCTAATAATGAAGTAGGTTAAGTTAAGTTTTGACCCTGTTTCTTAACCCTATAGCTATCCGTACGCCCTGGGGTCTTTTTGTACCCAGGGGGCGTATTCTTCACATTTTAGAATACTTCTAGTGCGAAAGTCTCTTGAAAACTTTCAGTATTTCTCTAAAAATCATTTTGACAGACTGCTATGAAAAGCGTACGGATCGAATTAACGAGTAAATTTCCTCTTTGGAAAGTGGGGGCACAGAGTTCCCCACGTTGTATGGATACGATGGTAAAAAACGACGTACGGATAAGGTTATAAATAAGTTGAAATCATCTTATTTACATGACATCACAGCGGTACAAATGTGTGCTCACAAAGAATGATGTGCTCTGGTGTGATTTGCTCCTTCTTTCCTATCAAACATCTATTGTCCTTATCTCCCGTTCTTCTTTTTTGAGTTTGTTACTCTCTTGTAACACCTCTAATCTTCTGGCGCTCATATTAACTTATGCAGTTGCAAGCACTGTAAAACCTCTACTAAAACAACAAATAAGAGAGTGGTGGCCCCAGATGTGAATTGTAAGTCAAGCTAGTATAAAATGGAGGGCTCAAGTTTACTTTTACAGTGAAGTACTAACTCACTGCAAGCTACCACTTAGTTACAACTTTGAAACTTTTAATTTGTCCAACTTTTGGATGCCTGTCGTTGTCTCATGCTGCTGTTGTTACCTCCCCTTCCAGTGTCGAACGGTCAAGGTCACTATCCTGGGAGACGAGGGCGTGCCGGTGCAGGTGGACGGAGAGGCCTGGGTCCAACCCCCGGGCTACGTGAGGATTGTACACAAGAACAGGGCCCAAATGCTGATTAGAGACAGGGTTAGTATTTGAACTTGTCGACATTATAAGACATTTTAAAATGATTCGGGAGGGTTTTTTTAAAAAGCATTGTAATTTTGGTTCTTGTAGACGGAACTACAGACATGAGTTCAATCCCATGTGGGATGAGGTTTTTTAAAATAATTTAATAATAATAAGAGATAGCATCATTGTATAGTGCAAATTCCGCTCAACAGCAAGCTCTATGCACTTCACAGTAATACAATTACCTCAGCAGACCTGAGAGCATTCTGAAACAAATTCAACTTCCTCGGAAGCATACAGTACAAGCAGCCTTTTATAGGCAGTAAAACGCTGACATACTGACAAGATTTTTTGCTGTCTATGGCCGTGTACCCATTTCCACCTTCGTAAAGTAAGGAAAATTTGTGTAATTCGCAAGGACACAACGTCGGGCCCGCGGCTCGAACCTTGTCCCCGCAACCTCACGATTACGAATCCGGTAGCCTCACCATTAGGCCACCGACGCCACAATGGAGTATCATGGCCTGTCTGCTGGGACGTTGTATTCCTCTCCGCTGGGGTTGGCCCTCACTATCAGGGTCAAAGAAGCCAGCCTTTGAAATGATTGAAGTTGTGTAAAAATGTACCATTACAATATAATGGAGAACAAAACCTGCAGTAATGCAGAATAGTCAGTGATCATGCAATACGGTGGACACCAGTTGCCCATCAATTCTTCTCGTCATCGCCGTACTGTGAGTGGTTGGAGGGTGCTATTGATAGGTCCTACTACTTTTCTTTCATTCTGTTGTTTCTTTATGCCTATCTTCCCTTTTCTCTGCTGGAATGGGACTTTCTGGTGTCAATGAATTTGTTTTTACTCATTCATAGGTCCTACTACTTTTCTTTCACTCTATTGTTTCTTTATGATAGGTCCTACTACTTTTCTTTCACTCTGTTGTTTCTTTATGATAGGTCCTACTACTTTTCTTTCACTCTGTTGTTTCTTTATGATAGGTCCTACTACTTTTCTTTCACTCTATTGTTTCTTTATGATAGGTCCTACTACTTTTCTTTCACTCTATTGTTTCTTTATGATAGGTCCTACTACTTTTCTTTCACTCTGTTGTTTCTTTATGATAGGTCCTACTACTTTTCTTTCTCTCTGTTGTTTCCTTATGCCTATCTTCCCTTTTCTCTGCTGGAAAGGGACTTATGGTGTCAATGAATTTGTTTTTACTCAAACTGAGTGGGTGGCTTTGCAAATACTCTGATGTAGTTTTCTCCTTGCTTCCTATCAAATATATGTATTGTACTTATCTCTTCTTTTTTTTTAAACAAAAAAAAATATAACTCTCTGGTGACGCGACTAACCTTCGGCACTTACATGACCTATACTATCTGTGTTGCAATTTTCCTAAAACTCTCACACATAATGTACAGCGCATAGAGCTTGCTGTTGAGCGGGGATATGTGCTTTTTAAAAATTAAATGCTTATGTGCAATACAAAATTAAATGCTATTTATTATTTCGTTATAAAACCATCTCAAGCTCAAGCTTCACCTGTTGGTGGTTGGCGGGTGCTCTAGTGTGGTTTGCTCCCTCTTTCTGATCAAACATCTATCATCTTTCTTTTTTGTGTTTGTTATTCTCTTGTAAAAACCTCTAATCTTTAGCACTTGTAGGACCTTATTGTGTTGCAAGTGCCGGCAAACTTTTTCTAAAGCTAAAAAAGTGGGTGGTTGGCGGGTGTTCTGGTGTGGTTTGCTTCTTCTTTCCTATGAAACATCTATCGTCCTTGTCTCCCCTTCTTCTTTTTTATGTTTTGTTACTCTCTTGTAACACCTCTAATCTTCTGGCGCTCATATGACCTTATGCAGTTGCGAGCGCCATAAAACTCTTACATGTACTAAAACTAAAAAACCAAAACTTTTCTAAAGCTAAAAAAAGACTCAGTCTTAACTAACCCGCACTTTTTCCCCCCAGACGTTTGAGAATGTGCTCAAGTCGTGGTCGGAGAAGCAGAAAACGGAGCGCCCCCTCAGCCCCCAGGCTCTCCAGCTAACGGAGGACGAGACCCAGGTGCTGCTCAACTTTGTGGAGGCCACGTCCTCCGTCATACGCAGGTCAGTCCACGCAGGAAACATAGGAAAAAATCTGTCCCCGTTGTTTTATGCAAGAAAAATTCTGAAATTATGCAAACTGAGCCCAAAAATGTGAAATTATGCGATTCTGTTAATTTTAGCAAAGAATGATAAAGGAAAATAATCAGAAATTATGCAAAAAATGATCAAATTTTTCTAAATTATGCGGGGTGCATAAAACCACAGGGACAGAAAAATGCACAGCCTGCCTCCTAAATATCTTAATTATGTCGATGGGGCTGTAAAATATCTCGACTGCTTAACTACTCTTTATCTCCGCGGAGGGGGGGGGTAAACCCACTACCCCAGGGCCCTTTTTTTTGGTGCTAAATCTAAAAATGACAAAAATGTTATTTAAATGGGTCATACAATCGAAACTAGCAAACCTATTTTGATTGTTCTTTATCTAATGAATGAACTTCCAGCCTAAGAGACCTGTTTTCTGGCGCTCATATGACCTTATGCAGTTGCGAGCGCCGTAAAACCCTCTACTATAAAAAAAAGACCTGTTTTCGGCAATTGCTGCTATTTCCAGGGGTGCCTTGATAGTCGAAGCAGACTTTGTTCTGTTGAAGCTAGAGAGGTGAGCAGAGTAAGTCTGATTCCATGTAAAGACTTCTCTGTTGACATCCACCCCTTGACACTCATATGACCCTTATGCAGTTGCAAGCTCCGTAAAACCTCTACTAAAAAACAACAACTAATGTGACACACCTTTTTTTAAAAAAAATTCTTTAGAGTTAGGACTTAACTAAGAGATGTAGCAGAGCTTTGTGTCCTGTTTTGACCTAAAATAAAGATAATTACAAATACTGCAGCAATGTTGTTGCTATCAATCCAGTCTGTGAGTGGGTGGTTGAGGGGTGCTCTAGTGTGGTTTGCTTCTTCTTTCCTATCAAACATCTATCGTCCTTAGCTCCCCTTCTTCTTTTTTATGTTTGTTACTCTCTTGCAACACCTAATCTTCTGGCGCTCGCTCATATGACCTTATGCAGTTGCGAGCGCCGTAAAACCTGTTCTGAAAAATAAAAAGTCTAGTCTGTAGCAACATTTTAAAAATTTCTGTTCGTCAGTGTGAAGGTGGCGGCTAAATCGCACAGCTCTGTGGAAAGCGACTTGATTCCCATCGCACAACAGACTTCCCAGTGTGTGGACAGACTCTACCCAGTGGGGAAACTTGCCGAGGTGGGTGTGAGTGTGTTTGGTGTGGTCCGTGTGTTTTTGTGTGTGTATGTGTGTGTGTGTGTGTTTGGTGTGGTCCGTGTGTTGTGTGTGTGTGTGTATGTGTGTGTGTGTGTATTGTGTGTGTGTGTTTGGTGTGGACCGTGTGTGAGTGTGTTTGGTGTGGTCCGTGTGTTGTGTGTGAGTGTGTTTGGTGTGGTCCGTGTGTTGTGTGTGTGTGTGTGTGTGTGTGTGTGTGTGTGTATGATTACTTGTTTGGAGGTTTGGATATATATGTGTGTCTCTTATGTATCTGTATGTAAGTGGTCTCACCCTATTATCAAGTGGGTGGTTAAAGGACTCCGTGGAAGTGGGTGGTTGGCGGGTGCTCTGGTGTGGTTTGCTCCTTCTTTCCTATCAAACATCTATTGTCCTGATCTCCTCTCCTTCTTTTTTGTGTTTGTTACTCTCTTGTAACACCTCCAATCTTCGGCACTTATTTTATATGACCTTATTGTGTTGCAAGTGCCGTAAAACTCTAACTAAAACTAAAGGACTCCATGGAAGTTCTTGTTCCTCAGTTATTTCCATCTGTCTGTCGTACTGTACTCCAGCATTGAATAAGTAACTTATCCTGTCAAGACCCTTCAAATAACTCCAAACGCACACACACACACACACACACACACACACACACACACACACACACACACACACACTATAAAAAGACACATTATAGCTTTTCTTATGCAATTTACCGATTGCGCTGCGCGTTTTAATGATAGTATAATTATATCATTCTTGTAAGCTCTTCAGTTTTATATCTAAATTTAAATTTTCATATTTGTACGCTTTTGTAAATATACGTGGATGTTCCTTGATGTGAGAAAAAGAATAAAGATGGAAGTGAAATTTTTTTTTTTTTTTTTAAATATGAGATAAATCAAATGTACTTTGTGAACTTTGAGTTCGATACCTGGCGTTGTATCATTCTGGTGGGCTCTTCAGTTTCGTTTGTTAATTTTAATTTTAATTTTAATTTTAATTTTCATATTTTTACACTTTCGAAAATATATGAATGTTCCTTGATGTAAGTAAACAAATAAAGATGAAAGGTTTTTTTTAAATTATTATTTTTAAAATATGAAATAAATTAAATGTAGTTTGTAAACTTTAAGTTTGATACTTGGCATTGTATCATTCTTGTAAACTCTTCAAAAATATAAAATATTTACGCAATCTTTAGATTGCCACGCAATTATACAATCGTTAAAACGCGCAGATTTCACCTATCGCTAAATTGTGCGGAACATATATACCCCAGAAGGATAAGCCAAAAACCCAGAAATTTACTATTATATTTACCCCATAAAGTTGAGCAGAAAACCCAGACATTTACCATTATATTTACCCGTACAAGATGAGCAAAAAAACGAACATTTACCATTATATTTACCCCAAATAAGATGAGCTGAAATCCCAGACATTTACCATTATATTTACCATAACCCAGACATTTACCATTATATTTACCCCATATAAGATGAGCAAAAAACCGAACATTTACCATTATATTTACCCCATAAAGATGAGCAGAAACCCGAGACATTTACCATTATGTTTACCCCACATAAGATGAGCAAAAAAAACTAAACATTTACCATTATATTTACCCCATATATGATGAGCAGAACACCTAAACATTTACCATTATATTTACTCAATAAATATGGTCGGAAACCCCAGACATTTACCATTGTATTTACCCCATATAAGATGAGCAGAAAACCCGAACATTTACCATTATATTTACCCCATAAAGAATAGCAGAAAACCCGAACATTTACCATTATATTTACCCCATAAAGAATAGCAGAAAACCCAGACATTCACCATTGTATTTACACCCTATAAGATGAACAGAAAACCCACACATTTACCATTATATTTACCCCATATAAGATGAGCAGAACACCCAGACATTCAACATTATAATTACCCCATAAAGATGAAAATTATATTTACCCCATATAACATGAGCCGAAAACCTTAGATTTGTCCTCCTGACTTGTAAACTTTCATGTCCTTTCTCCTCTTTCTTGTCATGGTTTCGTCAGATGGATTCTAGTGACAGCGAGACATATCAGGTGTGACACGATTACATTGTTGTTGGCTGTTGTGTGTGTGTGTGTGTGTGTTTGTGTGTGTGTCACTTTGTTCACTTTCTGTTGTGTGTCCTTTGTTGGTTGTATTCACAGCTATGGCAAAGAGATTCTGCAGAAATTAGGGTCAGTTTTCCTCCTTAATACATCTCAAAATGATAATGATAGATAGTGGCACTGATAAAGTTTGCATTTCGGTGGGTGGTTTGTGGGTGCTCTGGTGTAGTTTGCTCCTCCTTTGGTTTGCTCTTTCTTTCCCATCGAGACGATCTATCACTATCAGCCTTATAAATCTCTCTTCCTTTCTGTGTTTGTTACTCTCTTGTAACACTTTTAATCTTCAGCTCTTACATGACCTAATTGTGTTGCAAGTGCCGTAAAACTCTGGCTAGAACAAAAACAAACAAAAACTGTGCTTACCCCTCACCCTGTTTCAAAAGATAGAAAGTGTGGCACAATCTCTTTGCCATGCAATGGTCCCCCCCCCCTGCCCCCTCAAATTATACGTAACCTCCATGACTTACTGCCTGCCTAAGTCCTCTCTTTATATTGTTGTTATGTTGTTGTTGTTGTTGTGTGTGTAAGCGTGCATTGTGTCATAATATCAGAGTAATATTTGATGTGTATGATTTATTGTATAATACATATTTGTCCCACATTCCGTTTCCCTGATAGCTTCTGTGTCTATAACACATAACTGAGTAACAGCTTTTGCCTAAGGATGCAGCTTATCAATGTTATATTATTATTATTACTATTATTATTATTATTATTATTTTATCATCCTCATATTTTTTTTTGGGGGGGGGTGGGTTGCTTTATGACAAATTGACTGCACTTCTCGGCTAAGGGCATTCCGTTCGCTCAGTTGGCATCATGCTGTACAAAGGAGTGGATGGCCGTGGTTCGAACCCGGAACAAGGTGTTAATGAGCTCAAGTTGTTTTATGGAGCTTTCAAGGCTCTCAGCCGATTTGGTCTCGGTCGTATCATTGAAAAATGTTCAATATAAGTTCCCACCGCTTAAAGCCTTACAGTTTGTAACCCTGTCCATACGTCGTGTTTTACTATTGTATCCATAAGACGTGGGGAACTCTGTGCCACCACTTTCCAAAGAGTAAATTTACTCATTAATCCAATCCGTACGCTTTACATAGCAGTCTGTCAAAATGATTTTTTGATAAATACTGAAAGTTTCACAGAGATCTTCGTACTAGAAGTATTCTAAAATGTGAAAAATACAACCCCGGGGGGTACAAAATGACCCCCACAGCGTACGGATAGGGTTAAGGATTATTTCTTGGTTTAGCAATAATTAGAGTTGCAGAAGTACAAGGGAGACTATCGAGGAGATGAAAATGAAGTCGTCATTGTCTCCCCTGGCGTGTTGTTTTTTGGTTCCTTTATTAATGTTTTCTGCTTGTTTCAATGCATCCGTCTGGCCCCGCCCCCATGTCATTCTCACAGCTTGGTGTTGTGAAGTGAGATGCTTTTGGCTTTTGTTTGTGTGCTATGTCTTTGTCTGTTTGATGTCGGAGCTAGTTGTAAGAGATTCAAATGCAGACAGGCAGACGAGTGATATGCATGCACACTCACACACACACAGACGCGCGCGCGCACACACATGCACACACAAACAGAGACGCATGCATGCATACATATCATACACATACACACACACACACAAACACACACACACACACACACACACATGCACACACAAACAGAGACGCATGCATGCATACATATCATACACATACACACACACACACACACACTCTCAAACACACACAGATATCATACACACACATAGACAGATAGAGCATCTGTGTGAGTGTGTGTGTGTGTGTGTGTGTGTGAGAGAGAGAGAGAGAGAGAGCAATAAACCATCGTTGTAAAAGCATTGCATTTAGTTTTTTACTGTGGTGAATGTATGTATAATATTTCCCCACTCCCTCTCTCTCATTGTTGAGAAAGAAAACATTTAATGTAATATTAATAGACTGCTTAAAAAATCTCCCTAAAAATCATGGGTATTTTGACAATTCACAGTTTTGTGATTCTGTTGCATTTATATAATACTATCGTATTGAAACAAATGGATGATGTGGGAGGAGGAAGGGGGGGATTATTTGTAAGGGACATCAAGGTCATTGCTATGCCTCATTGATGTTCACCAAAAGAATTAAAATTGGCGCTCATATGACCTTATGCAGTTGCGAGCGCCGTAACACCTCTACTAAAACTAAAAGAATTAAAAGTCTATGCCTCCATCATTATTGGTGACACTTTGGGAGCTCAGTGCTATCTTGGGCTTACTCTATTTCTTTTTTTTTTTTTTATGATGTAAGTCGTACTGAAGGAAAGTTGAATTCCAGCCTTTAAAAAAAAGAGTTAATACAAAATGAAACTGAAAGTCTATGGAAGGCGGGCGGTGACCATTTACAATTGGTCGCTTTTAAGCACAATGGGGCTATCCCGGAAAATGCTGTTTTGAGAAAATCGAAGGTAAAGTTTTTGGACCCTTGTTCAGTTTCTTTAAAAGACAAGGAGAGTTTTTTTCTATAACCAAACAAATATATACACCAATAATGAAACCAAACTTCTCCTACAGGTAGGGCGGCTCGTGTTTTATAGAACTGGCGCTCATATGACCTTATGCAGTTGCGAGCGCCGTAAAACCTCTACTAAAACTTTTAAAAAACATAACATCTTTTCTTTTGTTTCTCCCTGTAAGCAGCCAACGCTGAGGAGCCAGGTTGTGGACCTGATACAGACTGTGAGGATCTTATACCATGAAGCCAGCATCTTCCTCACAGAGAAAGCTACCTCTGCACTGGTAGGTTTTACATACAGCATTAATTATGATAGTTATATGTGTCGTGGCGCAGTGGAATCAGGCGCTCGTCAATTTTTGGACAACTGGAGTATCATTTTAAAGCTTGTTCATTTGTCTTGGTTTTAGTGAAAAAAATAGGCCTACTTATCTCGCTTATCTGGGAAGTTGTTATAATTTATAAGTATGAAATAATAAAAGGCATGTTAGGCTCGAAGAATATGGGGGATGCGAATTGAAAAAATCTACAAATTTAACCCTTGTGCTGATTTTTTGCCAACATCTCCATTTGTGGATTGTGAGAAGTTACTCATTTTGTCAGCACGCCTCACATATTATAACCTGTAATATATTTCTACACATATACACAGGGGTGCTAAAGTAACTATGCAGTAAGTATAACACCATTGTTATAATGCTTAGTTATAAGGAAGTATTATAAATGTAGAATTTGAAAGATCTATTCTCCGTGGCTGATCCCAAATTTTATAAAGGCCATTGGCTTTTACAATAATTGTGAATATTGTTATTTTAATTAAATGTAAATTGCTTTTGTTTTTACTGGGAACGTTTTTACCGTAACATTTGTAACCCTTTAACACTTTCCCACCTCGTCTCGTCGATCAACGATTTTTACCTCCCAGTTTCTTTGGATTTTCCCCCTTCTTTGCTTTTGATGGCAAGAGTTTTTTACTGTATGAGTCTTGTGATGGCAAAGTGTTAATTTGGTCTTTGACCAAAACAAAGAGTCTAAATAACAAGAGGGGCCACTTCTCTCTTTGAGCCAATTAAAAAAGTGTCCTAAAAATTCGGTGGCGCCCTCTTCGCAAAAGCGCACCTTTTGCGAACAGAGTTACCCTACTTGAGTTTAAAAAATCAAAGTGAAACTAGCAAGTTTTTGAATGAATTTCGGAAGAACGCTTTTTTAAAATGGTTACGCTGACAAAAAATCCTTTCCGGAGGAAAGGGTGATTGTTTTCTTCATTTAATTTGACTTTAGAATGAAAGGCGAGAGGTCATTAAAATGTTTTAAAAACCTTAAACTCCACACTGAACGAACCCGAACTGCTGATGAACAGCAGTCGATCTGCGCACGCAAGGAAGTGCTATTCCTATTCTTCTTCTGGAAAAACGAAAGAGAGCTTCAAAACAGACTGCAGCGCCATCTGAAGCAAAGAGCGAACTTCCTGCGGACACTTTTTTGGCTGAGTGGCCCATCTTGTTATGTACTATCTTTGACCAAAACCAAGCCGTGCTGCGAACTGTAGTGAATACAAACAACTTGTGTTTTGTGCTCTCATATGACCTTATGCATTTGGAAGTGCTGTGAAATGTAATTAGTGTGTGGTTGGCGGGTGCTCTGGTGTGGTTTGCTTCTTTTTTCCTATCAAACATCTATCGTCCTTATCTCTCCTTCTTCTTTTTTTGTGTTATTTACTCTCTTGTAACACCTCTAATCTTCGACACTTATATTATGTCCTTATTGTGTTGCAAGTGCCGTAAAACTCTTCCGAAAACTAAAAAACTGTAATTACCCTAAACTAAACATGTGTGGTGTGTGGTTGTGTCGCCAGCTGTCCCCGGGTCTGGAGGACCGGCTGACCTCATCACTGATCACCCTAGAGCAGGAGATGAAACGCATCATCGAGGTCATCGGCCTGGTCAACCTAGAGCCCATGGATGAGGTCAGTCGTGTTGCTTGTCCTTTAGTTCATTACTGTCATGTAGGTCACTAGCTGAATAGGTCAGTCGTGTTGTGTGTCCTTTACTATGATGAGGGACACAGGTGAATAGGTCAGTCGTGTTGTGTGTCCGTTAGTTCATTACTGCCATGTAGGCGACTAGCTGAATAGGTGTTCCTTCTTTCCTATCCAACATCTATCGTCCTGATCTCTCCTTTTTTATGTCTGTTACTCTCTTGTAACACCCCTAATCTTCGGCACTTGTATATGACCTTATTGTGTTGCAAATGCCGTAAAACTCTTAATAAAACTGAATTACTGTTATGTAGGTCGTTTTGTCATATGGATGTGAGACTTGGAATACGTCTCAGACTTGCATAAGATATAAAGGTTATATATTATTATATTATATTATTAAAGAGGAGCCAGGTTGCCTTTTTTTTAAACTCTTAATTTGTTTGTACAACATATTCATATCAATGGTGTTATGATCAAATATTATGTATAATGGTTGCTTGAAAATTTTTCTTCATCCAAAAAAAAATGTTTTTTTCATTTTTTTATTTTTTTATTTTTTAATAAAAAAAAAAAAAGAAAGAAAATCTACTGAACTGATTAATGAGAAAACACTGGATGTGGTTTATATTTATGCGGTGGTGTTGTTTATATTTATGCGGTGGTGTTGTTTATATTTATGCGGTGGTGTTGTTTGTGTGTGCAGGTGAGCTTACTAGAACATCAAAAACGAAAGCAGGGCCGGCTAAAACAGGTCTACACGAGGCTCAAGGGGGGGAAGGGACGAGAGAAACCGAGAAGCGCACTGCCACCTGGTAAGTGATAGCAGATTTTCAGGGTTTTTGTAAGTGTTGGTTTGTTGTTTTGTTAGTTTGGGTTTTTGTTAGGAGGTCAGTTTTTAAGAATTTTACTGGTGAGGGATAGCATATTTTTGCTTTGGGGTTAGGGGTGAGCTGTTGTTTTCAAGAATTTTACCCCATTCTTATTATATGAAAAGTAAAAAGAAAGACATAGCATACTCCAGAAGAAGGTAGAGAGCTTTCTATGAGTAATGAAAAATGTCAAATTGATAACTCATCTAAGCTGTTCCGGCGAATTAAAATTATGAAAATGAAGAATGACAGAGTATATGTGAAGGGTGCTGACAAAATGAGTTGCTTCTCGGATTCAAGCCTCATTGAAATAGATACATCACACTTATAGGTGAAGTTTTTACAGTTTAGAAGTATGAAATAATAAAAAGCATGTTGTACTTAAAGAATATGGCATCAATAGAAAATCTACAAATTTGACCCCAGTGTCGATTTTTGGCCAATATCTCCATTTGTAGATTGTCAGAAATAACTCTTTTGTCAGTCAGCATGTCTCACATATTGAATTGGATACTTAAACGTTGTCTCTGATCAGAGAGCAGTTAGTTAATATACATGTGTCACAACATATGGGGGGGGGGGGGGGATCAGGTGCTCTTCAATTTTTGGGCGTATGGAGTTGTTGATATCATCTTAAATTTGTCTTGCTGTGGATGAAAAAATACTCACCTATCTTAAAAAGAAGTAGTGATATTTGCGATTGAAGGAGATGGGGTGTCTTGGTGTCAAAGAAAAGATTAGCGAGAAAATGGCCAGCAAAGTTTGGTGCCTTCAAAGCTATTGTTTCGTGTCATGTTCCAGAGCTTATGGTAGCTTGTTGTTATTTTTCCCAGCTTTTGAAATACGGAGCTGGACTTTGGAAGAGGTTGGTCAGTGGCTGGAGAGCTTGTCATTGGGCGAATACAGACAGAGCTTCCTGTCACATGAGATAACAGGGGCGGAGCTACTGAACTTGGAGAGGCGGGACCTCAAGGTGGGTGTGTCTCTGCTGTGTGTGTGTGTGTGTGTTTCAGCTGTGTGTGTGTGTGTGTGTGTGTGTGTGTATGTGTGTGAGGGGTTTGAGGGAGAGAAAGAAGGTTAGTATGTGTACTTTGCAAAAGAGATTGGGTTATTTTAACGCAAGATTTCATATAAAGTTCTGCACAAATTATACATGTATTTTTTAAAGCAACAGGCCGTGTGCAGATTATACCTGTATCTACATACATTGATTTATCCAGTGGGTGGTTGGTGGGTGCTCTGGTATGGTTTGCTTCTTCTTTTCTATCAAACATCTATCGTCCTTATCTCCCCTTCTTCTTTTTTATGTTTGTTACTCTCTTGTAACACCTCTAATCTTCTGGCGCTCATATGACCTTATGCTGTTGCGAGCGCCGTAAAACCTCTACTAAAACTAAAAATTGATTTATCCGTCATGTCTTTGAACTGGTCTGTTTCTCCCTACAGGACCTGGGTGTGACCAAAGTGGGTCACCTGAAGCGTATCCAGCAGGGGATCAAAGAGCTCCACCACCGAGAGGCGGCCTACGACCGGCCCAGCTCTTGACCCTGCGACCCCGACATCTCGGGGACTCCACCGCCATCTCCATGACAACAACAACAAGTCTCTAGACAAGACAAGACCAGCCTCTTCTGTGTTAAGCCGTTTTCGCTTCTGTTGTGGTCCAGAGAGATTCTGGAAAAGCAGTGAAAGTTGGTTTGGGTTTGAGTTTTTATTGCGAACAGAGAAATGGGAACGCGGAGAATACTGGCTTTATAGTTTTTGAGGGGACAAGGAGAAAAGACGAGAAAAAAAAAAAGGAGTGATTGCGGCAGTCTCTTTATCTGTCTTTGCCGTACTTTTTGCTTCTGAGAAGCGACACAACGGAAAAAGAGAAAATAAAAGTGAAAGAAAGAGCAAGTCATGGAAGATGCTCGCTGTGCAACATGAGAATTTTTGTGTGTGTGAAATATTACGATTTCTTACGGAGGCAAGAGGGGAAGCAAGGCTTTGTTCGAACTGATGGCCAAGAGGACAATGAGTGAGGCTGCTGGTTGCTGAGTGCCTGTAGAAAGGGGGTCCGTCTTTGTAAAAGGAAGCTATTTGATCCAGAAAGAGAAAGCCGTTTTGAGGGCTCTATCTATCTGTGCTTATCTGCCAGGGCATGAGCTGGAGGGCTGCTGCAATAGCTACAACGACATTGTTCATTATTCATTGTTTCAGGAAGCAACATCCCTGCACTCCGGACATGTCCATTGATGCTCCGTTGCTCTCTCCAAAATGTCGCCGAGGGACAGCAGCTGCAACGAGAACAACAACAACAACAGCAACAACAACAGCAGTCTTGCGTTTCGGTGTTCGGCGTGTGTCTTTTTCTAAACTTTGCGTCCTCGGGCGGTTGTACGAAACGATGAAGGAGGAACCAACTGCCCCAGGGCCAATGGTTACTCCTGAGCTGCCCTCTCAACTTTGTGCTGGACGACTTTTTCAGGCAGTCTTACAGCAAAGCTTATGTCTGTCTCGCTCTAAAGACAAGACGAGCGCTGTGACCTTTATTTTATTGCTTGACAATTTTGTGGTCTGTCGATCTGTGTACCGAGTTTTCATTTCAATGTTTTCTACCTTTCACTTCTCTTAGCAAACCCAAAGTCTCTGTGTTTCTGCACAAACCTCTATACTATGTGTACAGAATATTTTCATGGATGTGTTTATATCTCTGTATATCAGAAACTTATACCGATGCACTCTTGTTTAATCTTTGTATTCTTTTTCCTCTTCCCTATTGTTTGCACATACCTCCCCCCTTTAAAAAAAACCTACATCGAATGAAAATGTGAATTTATTTTTATACTCCAACTGAATGAACTTATCCCTATGAAAGTTATAGAGTTGTAGTTTGTCTTATCATGAAGAGATGGATGAGGGAGGGACTTGGGGGGGGGGGGGGGGGCGGGGGGGGGCGGGAGTGGGGGGGGGGGCGCGGGAGGGGCGGGAGTGGGGGGGTTCATCGCCTGAAGTGTGAGATTGAAGGGGACTTTGGGTGCTGTGTTCTACTCTCAACTTTTCAAAGTTGTCAATGGCGTTTCTATCGCAATTGTGGGTGGTTGGCGGGTGCTCTGATATGGTTTGCTCCTTCTTTCCTATCAAACATCTGTCATCCTATCAAGTTGCGCACGTTAAAGATCCCTGGGTGGTCCAAAATCGATAAGAGTAGGCTTAGCCCGCAACCCGTGCAAAATTCAAAATTTCTTACCAGTTGAAAATATTTGATGTGTCCCGCACACTCATATGACCTTATGCAGTTGCAGACGCCGTAAAACAGTTAATGGGTACCCAAAAAAAAAAGAAGAAGAAAAATGGACTCTAAAAAAAGCAACTGTAATCGTGGATTAATTCCAATATAGTCTGACGTTGCAGTACATTATTTGCTAGTGTTAGATGTGGACTACTGCCTCATTTGAGGGTTAGGCCTACACTGTGCAGTTGCCGAGGGTTGATTGCTATTTACAGATGCGGGTACCTTATACATATTAGTGGGGTACCTTAATTAATACATTTTTTTCCTAGCTACCTTTAATGACATGTATTAGGCTGCTATATTGCAGGAAGTAAGTTTGAAAACCCTGTTACCCTGTGCCTTCTCAGAGAGATTGAACAGAACCCCCCCCCCCAATCCCCCCTCCCACCCATCTCTTCAACTGATTTGTTAACCAGAAAAATCCATAAACGTTTGTTAAGGACATGTTACCGTGAGCGATTTGCCTGCGATTCCTCCAGTTTGTCACTGATATGCACGAATATTTAAGTATGTTGTCAAAATATTTTTGTCATTTGCCAACAGAATTTTTGTCAAAACAACTTTGCAGTTCTTTTCATGAGTGCCTGCCATGAGATTGTGTGGTCTTGATGTTCAAAAACCACTCACCTCAGAGTTCTGAAATTATTTTTTTTTCACTTTGTGACTCAAGACAGCAGTCACCTAGCTGAAATAAATGTCAGCGTGGGTGTCAATTTCAAATTCTATTTCAGTCCTTCATTCCTCATATATATATATATATATGTCCAATCAAATTATTGACCCTGGTAGATATTATGAACATTGGATGTTGCTGATAGAAGAATGGTAAATGAGTATATTTTCCATGCACATGTGAAAGCCATGACAAAGAGAATGATATGGTGTGGTGGTATTGGTTTGGGGTTTTTTTTTCTACTCAATGTGATGATTATTTCAATTCTGCTCTAATGGGTATAGTTTGTGTCATAGTGCAATGGAATCAGACGCTCGTCAATCTTTGGGCATATAGAGTTATTGGTTTATTCATAAAGCAGGGTTCATTTGTCTTGCTTTTCGGGAAACAACAATCCCCCCATCTATCTTGAATAGAAGTCAAGATAGAGCTATTTGCGATTGAAGGAGGTGGGGGATTGCTTGGTGTGCGAGGTAAAATTAGCAAGAAAATGACCTGGCACATTTTGATGACTTCCAAAGCTTGAATGTCCTTGGAAACTTAAAATTTAAGATCTGTTATGTGCAACAGTAAGATCTTCACAGAGCTATGTTTTCAGGTGGACATCACATAAAACGTATTGAGCCAAAAAGACAAAATTGAAAATTGACCAGTGGACGGAAATGATTTCACCACGGTGCCTCTCATGTGTTGGATATTCATCTCTAGATCAAACAAATTCTCTCAGATGTAGAGACACTTTCGTTTTGCAAAATGCATAGAACTGCACTGGGATTAAACTAAAGGGTTTTGCTTTGATTTAGTTTGAATCTGCCTTCAAATTCACCTACATTTCTGTCGGTTTAGAGGTGAGTTGTTTTTTTCTTTCTTTTCAATGTGAAATATTTTTAAAATCCAAAGAATTATGTGACTGTATTCATGGTTACATGATAAAGAATGTTTGATATTCATGCTGAATGGTTTTTACGTGTCATCATGTGTGTGTGTGTTGTTTTAAATGAAAAACAGAAAAAAAAGAAGAAAATATTTCTCAAAGCCAATGTGATAGAATAAATGATAGTTTGAATAATATATCCCGTTTCATTACTTTTGGAAGATAGGTGGAAAGTATTCTTATTTGCTTGTTTGAGTGAAGAAAGGCACTTGACACATGAAGGGTCATTTAGTGCTTTGAAAAATAGACAGAAATGGGGGGGGGGGGGGAAGAATTAGGACTTACCAATGGCACCCTCAACCACCCATAAGCTATATTGATTCATGAAAAGTGTGAAAGTTATTTATACATCATTGGTACTTTCTCAGTTATCTGAATGTCGATTTTTTTCTCCGTGAAACTGACCAATGAGCAAAGCTCTCTACTACCAAACAATTCCAACTTGACAAGATTCATTTTTCACTTTTTTAACATAAGTGATACTTAATCACCAATTTTAGTTTGTCAAAAGATGAGCGTCTTTCACAACTTGTTGTTAATGTTAAGTGAAGCATGAAACTTTTTGAATTGCAATGTTTTGGATCCCTTCTCTCTATCTCTATCAAAAGCAGTGCTGTCACCTTTCCAAAGAATGTAAATGTAACTGGTAGCTGTAACAAAGGATGATGGGGGAGTGACAGTGAATTGTGAATGTATTGATGTGTGAAGTGTTCTTTTTCTTGATGTCATTTGTCCGACTTGGTCTTGTTTCAAACTTTGCCAAGCAACCTCAGTAGCTGGACGGAGAGACTGATGTAGCAAGAGAGTGCTAGTGGGGTCTTGGTTAGATGAGACCTTGCTTTCTTTAACTTTCTCGTTTATAAATAATCATTTAAAAAATAAATTGAATTTGTATAGCACTCTGTCCCTTACGAGTATAAGCTCTGCTGAAATTTGACGGTAAAAATGCTGTGGTGAGATTTGGTTGTACTGAAGTTAAGAACTTTACTCGCTTTGAAAATGAACAACAAAGCCTTTTTTGGTGCTGTCTTTATGGAGACTGCAAAGTAAGAGTTTTCCGAGCAGCAAAGGTGGAGGGTATAAAGCCTTGACTAGCCCATGCATCTTCTTCTTCTGTGTAGAAAGTGTTCGGCTATGATTTTCTTCCAGTTTTTGTCGAGCTGCTACATAATTTAATTTGTTCTATTAATTTAACTCATGAAAAGGAAAACAGAGCTGTTAACTTATTTCCTGTATCAGATGGATAATTTGGAAGAACAGAGCTCATGTTCTGTGCAGATGTTGCTGGTGTCTCCTGTCCTGAATCTCGGTCAATGAAGGGGATGATTTCTTTTCAGTGAAGGGGATGATTTCCTGTCAGTGAAGGGGATGATTTCCTCTCAGTGAAGGGGATGATTTCTTTTCAGTGAAGGGGATGATTTCCTGCAACAAGTCAATGGCTGCTTACAAGTTTTAAAAGTTTTCAGTGTAGGTAGGCATTAACATATTAATGCAACAATGGTCAATTAGCTCAGGGAAATAGCAAGATAATTATATATTATAATATAAAGATAAAGAGGGAAAGAAAGTAGGAGGACATAATTAGAGTGACCCCCTCAAATGACCCACAAAGTTTAACTGTCAATATAGTCTTGTAACCCTTCCAACAGAAAGATCACATATTATAACATAGCACACATTCTTCCTTGACCCGTTTTAGTTTCCAGATTTCCCATCTTTGTGTCACTTGGGTGTTCAAATAATCTATCCCCTCAGTTTTATGAAAAAAAAATTCTGAAAGTGTGCAAACTGAGCCCGGAAATATGAAATTATGCAATTCTGTTAATTTTAACAAAGAATGATAAAGGAAAGTTATAAGAAATTATGCACAAAATGATCAAATTTTGCTAAATTATGCGGGGTGCATAAATCCCGGGAGACAGAATAATATGCTGTCGTCATTCTCTCAGTTTCGAATGCCAAACCTTGTTGAGCCTCTCTC